AAGACCTCTCTTTAAAACTCTGCCTTTCAAATACATAATAAAATCTTTTTTTTTTTTTTTAAAAAAAAAGCTTATGAGAACAAAAACATTCAAGAAGCAGAGTGAAGATGCCCTTGGTTCTGGATATTCAAGAAATGCCAAGGCCTCCTCCTCAAGGACTTTGAACATTTTCCATATTTGGTGAGGCAAAGTCCAGGGGTGAATCAGCTCCAGGGTCTGGGAAGATCCCAGGAGGAGAAAGGAGCTGTGTTCCAGGGAAAATACTAAGGAAAATCCTTTATCTCGAGCCCGGAGGGGCATAATGTAATCTGGACGTGTCTGCTGCAGCCCCTGCCATGTCTTCCCACTTCATTTAGAAGAATGGCCCAGTCCTTACGATGGCTTACCAGCTTCTCCACAACCTGGAGCTATCTTCCATAAGTCTCCTCCTTCCTTACTCCTCTCCAGTCATACTGTTCTCCCCTGTTCTGCAGCCATTCCAGACACTCCCCTGCCTTAGGGCCTTTGCACCCTCTCTTCTCTCTTTCTCCAGCACCCTCACCTCCTTCAAGCATTTCTTCAAAGATCACCTTTCTCAATAAGGCCATCACTGGCCACGCTGTTTAAAGTTATATTGGGCACCCCTGTGGCCAGCACTCTTGATCCTCTTCACTCAGATCTACTTTCTGTTCTTCACTAACACGGATCAACTTCTAAAATACTGTAAAGTTACTCATCTAACATGCTTACGGCTTATAGCATGTCTCCTTTTACTAGAATGTAAGCTCCACCCTGCCAGGGACTTTAGTCTTACTCACTGCTCTATCTTCAGTGCTTAGAATGGTACCTGGCACACAGTAAACACCCAATAAGAAATGTTCATGGAATGAATGAGTGAATGACTCATGGGCATTGTGTACTCTGTTTGGAAAGTGAAGGTGCTCTGGACTTCCTCCCCAAATCAGGCTACCATGTGCTAAAGTGCAAAGATATCAACTAGAAGGAAAAATAGTGATTTCTGAGGGGTCAGGTTGAAATAACCCCAACGTGATGTGATGCAAGTGAAAATGACCTGCTGCATATTGGCACAGGGTGGAGAGTGAAGGGCAGAGGACAGAGGATAGGGAATGCATGGACAATTGGACGTGGAGTACAGATAAAACATATGTCATCAGAGACCATTTTTCAAGGTATGAGGCTTGAGGGGGAGCATGTCAAGGAAGACCTGCTCGGGACTTTGGAGGTGGGGGGCAGAGGGCGCTGCAAACCCCTCCCAAGCCAGTCAGAGCCAGACGGCCAAGTCTGTCCTTGAAGGTCAGGGAGGAGGCCGGGGGCCCCTTGGGCGTTGGGGAGCCC